ATCCTTTATACACAACTTTCCTAGACTTTATTTCTGTAGATGCCTTCCTTCCTAATTAAACTGTGAAATGCTTTAAACTTTAAAGCACTCTTGACTTAACCTGATCTTTTCTTCTTCTCCTTTCCCTACCTCTTCTCCTTTCCTATATTTTCACTTTTTGTTTTTTTGCTTTCTTCTGCCTATAAGTCAGTTTCCTGCCCCTCCCTTCTTGTGTGACCTGAGATCTCCTTCACTGCTCCTTTTTCTTGTTCATAAACTGACCCCCTTCTACTTCTATGTTTTCCCCCAATTCCTCTATTATTGCTACGACCTTTACTATTGTCTTCCTTCACCCTTCACTTCCCTGTCTCTCTTTTGCCACTAAACTACTCTCCCTACCTTCTATTCCCTACTTTCCACTACTTTTTACTCCCTACTTTCTACTACTTTACCACTACCAATAATTTAACTTCTCCGTATCTTGTTCCCGGCGTTATCCCGCTCGTCTATATATATGTACTAGCTATCTCACTCTTTTCTGCTAGTGTGATTTTGTAAGTGATCCAGGACGGACTGGAACGTTCTTCCAGTCACGGTATTAAAGCCTTTTTCTTCTTTATCACTTCATCTGAAATCATCTGTTCCTAGGATGACTCGTTATTCTTTACGAACATATTCGTACAGCATAATGATATCACCGAAATAAAGTCAGTTCATAAATGAAGTCACTGGCTCATACAAAGCTCCAATTCATCCTGTTCCTTGTTTGTATGTCTCATAACAATAAAAAGGCTTTCAAATGAGCTGATATAGGTAACAGTTCTTAACTTGTAAATAAAGTTAGAAACCTTAACCTAACTTTGTAAAACCCTGTGTAAAAACAAAACAAAAAAAAAATGGTGACAGCAGACAACGCAGTCTGGAGTGAAAGACAATTAGAGGAAGAAAATGGAAGGTTACTGATGATTCGTAAACTTGAGGCTGATGGCAGGTCAGGAAGAATGGGATGCGAGGAAGATGAATGAGTTATTAAGGCGATCATTGAGTGCACAAATAAAGAAGAGGAAATAAAACAGATGGAAAAAAATTTAGAATTGGGACTATTCATTAGACGGCAGTATCCCTACACAACCCACGCCCATCTCTCTCCTCCAAGTTATCAACAACCATAACTATAACCTTACTTTAACTCTGTGTACCTTGTAAATGATCCAAGTCGGGCCGAAACGTCGTTGTAAGCTAGTCTCTCCTATGTGCGGGTTATTTGTGTATCCTGACACATGCGTTAGGCGAAAATAGTTAGGGGAAAAATGCAGATGGAATATCAAATAAATGATGAACTGAGGGAACAAATAGTCGAGACAGTCCCCAAACATCATACCTCGTGCAGAGAGGGAATGAACTGCACTGATAAAAATGCATTATTTCCAGGAGCATATAACGTGTAAAGGAAGGGAAAACTAGGGAGGAGGAGGAGGAGGAGGAGGGGTGGTTCTGCAATAAAGGAAAAAGAGGAGTTTTGAAGAAATGAGAGAGATAATCAGAAATTAATCATGTGAATCATACTTTTCTTACCAAGTTCCTATTGTTAATAAAAGTGTTCTGATCTCTCTCTCTTTCTCTTTGCTTTTCACATTTGTGATCTTAGATACTAATGAGTAAGATCAAATAATTTAGGTGTGTTTTTCCTGACTACTGGATATATTTGAATCAGCTTATCATTTCGATTATCTATATTATTATAAAACTTGTGTAAATTCCTTTTTCTGAATAGTGATAGGAAATCTCAAAACTGAATAAAATAGTGCTTATATATACTGAATAATGTAGGGAGGTTTGAATGTGCGTTAAGGTTGTGCAGGTGATACGAAAGAGGTGATTGTCAGTGTTATGAAGGAAACAAGTTGGATGTTCTAACTCTAAGTGAAACAAAACTGAAAAAGGTAGGGGACTTCCAGTGGGGAGAAATAAATGGGATTAAGTCAGGAGTATCTGAGAGAGTTAGAGCTAAGGAAGGGGTAGCAATAATGTTGAAGCATCAATTATGGAAGAGGACGAGGGAATATGAATGTATAAATTCAAGTAGTATGCGAAGAGTCAGATATAATACGTGTTTATGCTCCCGGAGAAGAGACGAGTGTAGAGGAGAGAGAGAGAGAGAGATTTTGGGAGATGTTAGGGAGTTTTGATCGAATTGAGACAGTAATTGTGGCAAGGGACCTGAATGCCAAAGTGGGAGAAATAGTTGTAGAAGGCGTGGTAGGTAAGTCTGGAGAGCCAGTGGTACATGCGCAAGCTTTTGCGAGTTTTTACGAGGATAGTGAGAGGGAGATTATTTCCTGGTAAAGAGAAGTGAATGCTCGGGTGTTAAGAAGTGTGGGGTTAAAAGACAAAGAATCTAGCACAAAGTGGGATTTGCCTCTGTAAATTTTTTTTTTTTTTTTTTTTTGCTGACGACATTGTGGTTTTTGGAGATTCTCAAGAAATAGGAGAGTATGTAACATAAAGAAATTAAAAGTGAACATAAGAATGAGTAAGTTGATAAGGATCAAAAAAATAGATAATGAAAGACTGGATATCAGACTGGAGGGAGGGAGTGTGGAGGCAGTGAACGTGTTCAGATATTTGGGAGTAGAGTTGTCAGCAGATGGTCAATGAAAGACGAAGTGAAACAAAGAACTGATGAGGGGAAAAGGAGTGTGGTGCACTGAGGAGTCTGTGGAGACAAAGAAACTTTTCCGTGGAAGCAAAGAGGGAAATCTATGAGAGTATATTGGTACCAATGCTCTCATATGGGTGTGAAGTATGGGTAGTGAATGTTGCAACAAGGAGAAGGCTGGAGGCAGTGGAAATGTCGTGTCTGACTGCAATGTGTGGTGTGAATATAACGCAGAGAATCCGTAGCCTAGAGATTAGGAGGAGGTCCAGGGTTACTAAAATTATTATCCAGAGCGCTGAGCAAGGGTTGTTAAGATGGCTCGGACATTCTGAGAGGATGCAACTAGAAAGACTTGGAGGGAGTATAACTCTGCAGTAGAAGGATTGCGGGGTAGGGGCTGTCCTAGGAAAGGTTTGAGGGACGGGGTAAAAGAGGGTTTGTGTGCTAATGGCTTAGACTTCAGCAAGCTTGCATGAGCTTGTTAGATAGGAGGAGAAGGCAATTGGTTTTTATGATTTGATGTGCTGTTGGAGTTTGAACAAAGTAACATTTATGAAGGGATTCAGGGAAACCGTTTAGCCTGACTTGAGTCATGGTGAAGTAGGGGTGATTATATGTTGCCGTTTCTGAACTGTAGTATCGGCATGCCTCTGGCAGGACAGTGAGGACATGATCTGAGTAATGGTGAAAATATTTCTTTTTTCTCGGGGTCACCCTCCCTTGGTGGGAAACTACCGATGTGGTAAAAAAAAATATTTTATACTATATGATACTAGATGAAGAGTTAATATACGCAGAATACAATCACAGCTTTTGAATAGGTATAATAGAGCCCACGAGGTATTTTCAAGTGAATCCACCGCTGCGAGTCCAATGATTCATCTTACAGTCCGTCCTCTGAAACACTGAAACACTGCTGTAATAACTGTCAAATGGGTGACGGTTGACGGAGCAAAAGGGACCAGATGTTAAATTCTGGGGGGGGGGGGGAGGGGAAGGGGAGAAATTACAAAAAATTCGTAATGTACTCAGAACACTATGTGCTATGCTCTGTTTTTGTAATTACATACAGGTACTCGCACACTGTTATGTCTTCACTTACTCTCTTGATGGCCCGAGACAGTAGGAGTCTTAATACTAGTATTACTGAAGAGTAGTACGGAGTGTAATCCACAGTTACTGAAAGCAAGTATAAAAAAATATTATTCACACATGCCTTACCCCTATGGGAAGTCTTTGGCAAAATACTTTATAATACTCTTTAATAAATGTCTTATTAATAATATAGTTAAGGCAAATAATTTATTGAAACTACAATTTGTATTAATGTTCTATGGAAATGTGAAATGTCATTGTACATAATATCACTTCAAGCATCTCTGAATAACAACGGAAATACTTGATAAAATATTAAACTCTGCTGAGTCCCTTTCTAACCAGAGAAAAATAAAATGTATTTCGTTGAATACCCTACTGACACAGAGACACTCTCACGAATCTCGCTTCTCACAAGGTTCACCGTGTCTCTGGAACGTTTCTGTGTAGCAGACAGGTACAAAACTTTCTAAACACCTGTACACACAGATATCTACATAGTAGTTCACTATACTGAAGTAGGACTGATGGAAATAGATGACTCATGATGAAGCACGGCTGTCACCTCACATTTGCGAATAGACAAGAAGAGCAAACCACATACAAAAGAGCAAGCAAAGATTCATAGGATTCGATCCTGCTCAGATGGTGTCACCTTGGTCTTGTACATGTTCATTCCTATGTACAAGTTGTTACATAAGAAAATAAATTGTACATACACATGGTCTTAGCAATTATTTATAAATATTAATATTTTAATCTATATCTTAACTTCAGATATGTAGAAATGCGAAGAGTAAACTTATATTGAAATTAATATGAAAGTTATGTTAACAGTTACTGTAAACATCAATATGAGCATTATAACGATACAATGTAAGTATTATATCACGCAAGTAGTGCCTCGTGCGAAATTTGTTCACTTCTGTACTTGTGTCTGATATCCTCATCTTCTCTTTCTCTCTCATATTTTTCCTTATTCCAGTTTTATTATGTAACATTTTTATGCTTCATCCCTCGAATTTCTCGTGTTTATTTCAGTATTTCAGACAAATTACTCATTGAATCAGAAGTACTTTGTAAATTAATTGTTCGCAGTGGAATGGAAGAAGTTCTTTAGTTTTTAAATTTATTTTTTTTTCTAAAAAGCTCAATGAAAATTGAATTTCCATCAGTTTTTATTAGTCATTATTCTTAAAGAATGAGAATAATTTACAGTAAGCGACAGTATTGCTAGTATAACAATAATACTGTTCCACCTGGACAGCTCCTCGTCAGCCCCGCCATCAGGATCTCGTGAGTGTCAACTCATCTTATGTGACTCTTCACTTGTATACCTGGCCGTCGGGAGGCTGTCCCTTCACCTGTTGGGCAGTGGAATACAGACCTCACTCAGAATCCAACTTTATTCCTGTTGCATCTCATCTGGCGGGGGACACAGACTCCCTCACTCTTCCAGAGTTAGCCCCACTAACTTGGTACCAGCTTCGTATCACAGCCCATAATGCTGCAGGGTCTGCAACTGCTGTTTACGACGTGGCCACAGCATCTCTCACTGGAGGTATGTGTCATACTGGAGCAATAGTTGTTTTTTTTCCTTATTATAGAAATGTCTGATTAATATTATGCATTTCCTTACACAGATCCTTATCCTGACACATTGGAGATATTCACGGCTAAATCTGCTATTCCATGACTGAAATAATTAACTGCTAACCTACAGTTTGGACGGGAAATTTTAGATATAATTGTCCAGGATGGATAAACATATCGTCGACCGTGTCATTGTTTTCTATACAAGATCTCATAAATTTTCTCATCTTCAACTCTTCTTTCTCTATTTTTTAGACCTTTCAATATTACATGGATTAAGTAGTGAATTTTCTCATAACTTGAAAATATAATACGTTTTAATTATGGTGAATTTACATCATGGGGAAGTAGAAAAGAATCTTTCCTCCGTAAGCCATGCGTGTCGTATGAGGCGACTAAAATGCCGGGAGCAATGGGCTAGTAACCCCTTCTCCTGTAGACATTTTACTAAAAAAGAGAAGAAGAAAAACTTTATAAAACTGGGATGCTTAAATGTGCGTGGATGTAGTGCGGATGACAAGAAACAGATGATTGCTGATGTTATGAATGAAAAGAAGTTGGATGTCCTGGCCCTAAGCGAAACAAAGCTGAAGGGGGTAGGAGAGTTTCAGTGGGGGGAAATAAATGGGATTAAATCTGGAGTATCTGAGAGAGTTAGAGCAAAGGAAGGGGTAGCAGTAATGTTAAATGATCAGTTATGGAAGGAGAAAAGAGAATATGAATGTGTAAATTCAAGAATAATGTGGATTAAAGTAAAGGTTGGATGCGAGAAGTGGGTCATAATAAGCGTGTATGCACCTGGAGAAGAGAGGAATGCAGAGGAGAGAGAGAGAGATTTTGGGAGATGTTAAGTGAATGTATAGGAGCCTTTGAACCAAGTGAGAGAGTAATTGTGGTAGGGGACCTGAATGCTAATGTAGGAGAAACTTTTACAGAGGGTGTGGTAGGTAAGTTTGGGGTGCCAGGTGTAAATGATAATGGGAGCCCTTTGATTGAACTTTGTATAGAAAGGGGTTTAGTTATAGGTAATACATATTTTAAGAAAAAGAGGATAAATAAGTATACAAGATATGATGTAGGGCGAAATGACAGTAGTTTGTTGGATTATGTATTGGTAGATAAAAGACTGTTGAGTAGACTTCAGGATGTACATGTTTATAGAGGGGCCACAGATATATCAGATCACTTTCTAGTTGTAGCTACACTGAGAGTAAAAGGTAGATGGGATACAAGGAGAATAGAAGCATCAGGGAAGAGAGAGGTGAAGGTTTATAAACTAAAAGAGGAGGCAGTTAGGGTAAGATATAAACAGCTATTGGAGGATAGATGGGCTAATGAGAGCATAGGCAATGGGGTCGAAGAGGTATGGGGTAGGTTTAAAAATGTAGTGTTAGAGTGTTCAGCAGAAGTTTGTGGTTACAGGAAAGTGGGTGCAGGAGGGAAGAGGAGCGATTGGTGGAATGATGATGTAAAGAGAGTAGTAAGGGAGAAAAAGTTAGCATATGAGAAGTTTTTACAAAGTAGAAATGATGCAAGGAGGGAAGAGTATATGGAGAAAAAGAGAGAGGTTAAGAGAGTGGTGAAGCAATGTAAAAAGAGAGCAAATGAGAGAGTGGGTGAGATGTTATCAACAAATTTTGTTGAAAATAAGAAAAAGTTTTGGAGTGAGATTAACAAGTTAAGAAAGCCTAGAGAACAAATGGATTTGTCAGTTAAAAATCGGAGAGGAGAGTTATTAAATGGAGAGTAAGAGGTAGGTAGTAGGTTGGTAGACAGCAACCACCCAGGGAAGTACTACCGTCCTGCCAGATGACTGTGAAACAGAAACCTGTAACTGTTTTGCATGATGGTAGGATTGCTGGTTTCTTTTTCTGTCTCATAAACACGCTAGATAACAGGGATATCTTGCTACTCCTACTTACACTTTGGTCACACTTCACAGACACGCACATGCATATATATATACATACATCTAGGTTTTTTCTCCTTTTTCTAAATAGCTCTTGTTCTTCTTTATTTCTTCTATTGTCCATGGGGAAGTGGAAGAGAATCTTTCCTCCGTAAGCCATGCGTGTCCTATGAGGCGACTAAAATGCCGGGAGCAATGGGCTAGTAACCCCTTCTCCTGTAGACATTTACTAAAATAGAGAAGAAGAAAAACTTTATAAAACTGGGATGCTTAAATGTGCGTGGATGTAGTGCGGATGACAAGAAACAGATGATTGCTGATGTTATGAATGAAAAGAAGTTGGATGTCCTGGCCCTAAGCGAAACAAAGCTGAAGCGGATAGGGGAGTTTCAGTGGGGGGAAATAAATGGGATTAAATCTGGAGTATCTGAGAGAGTTAGAGCAAAGGAAGGGGTAGCAGTAATGTTAAATGATCAGTTATGGAAGGAGAAAAAGGAACATGAATGTGTAAATTCAAGAATTTTGTGGATTAAAGTAAAGGTTGGATGCGAAAAGTGGGTCATAATAAGCGTGTATGCACCTGGAGAAGAGAGGAATGTAGAGGAGAGAGAGAGATTTTGGGAGATGTTAAGTGAATGTATAGGAGCCTTTAAACCAAGTGAGAGAGTAATTGTGGTTGGGGACCTGAATGCTAAAGTAGGAGAAACTTTTAGAGAGGGTGTGGTAGGTAAGTTTGGGGTGCCAGGTGTAAATGATAATGGGAGCCCTTTGATTGAACTTTGTATAGAAAGGGGTTTAGTTATAGGTAATACATATTTTAAGAAAAAGAGGATAAATAAGTATACAAGATATGATGTAGGGCGAAATGACAGTAGTTTGTTGGATTATGTATTGGTAGATAAAAGACTGTTGAGTAGACTTCAGGATGTACATGTTTATAGAGGGGCCACAGATATATCAGATCACTTTCTAGTTGTAGCTACACTGAGAGTAAAAGGTAGATGGGATACAAGGAGAATAGAAGCATCAGGGAAGAGAGGTAAAGGTTTATAAACTAAAAGAGGAGGCAGTTAGGGTAAGATATAAACAGCTATTGGAGGATAGATGGGCTAATGAGAGCATAGGCAATGGGTCGAAGAGGTATGGGGTAGGTTTAAAAATATAGTGTTAGAGTGTTCAGCAGAAGTTTGTGGTTACAGGAAAGTGGGTGCGGGAGGGAAGAGGAGCGATTGGTGGAATGATGATGTAAAGAGAGTAGTAAGGAGAAAAAGTTAGCATATGAGAAATTTTTACAAAGTAGAAGTGATGCAAGGAGGGAAGAGTATATGGAGAAAAAGAGAGAGGTTAAGAGAGTGGTGAAGCAATGTAAAAAGAGAGCAAATGAGAGAGTGGGTGAGATGTTATCAACAAATTTTGTTGAAAATAAGAAAAAGTTTTGGAGTGAGATTAACAAGTTAAGAAAGCCTAGAGAACAAATGGATTTGTCAGTTAAAAATAGGAGAGGAGAGTTATTAAATGGAGAGTTAGAGGTATTGGGAAGATGGAGGGAATATTTTGAGGAATTGTTAAATGTTGATGAAGATAGGGAAGCTGAGATTTCGTGTATAGGACAAGGAGGAATAACATCTTGTAGGAGTGAGGAAGAGCCAGTTGTGAGTGTGGGGGAAGTTCGTGAGGCAGTAGGTAAAATGAAAGGGGGTAAGGCAGCCGGGATTGATGGGATAAAGATAGAAATGTTAAAAGCAGGTGGGGATATAGTTTTGGAGTGGTTGGTGCAATTATTTATTAAATGTATGGAAGAGGGTAAGGTACCTAGGGATTGGCAGAGAGCATGCATAGTTCCTTTGTATAAAGGAAAAGGGGATAAAAGAGAGTGCAAAAATTATAGGGGGATAAGTCTGCTGAGTATACCTTGTAAAGTGTATGGTAGAGTTATTATTGAAAGAATTAAGAGTAAGACGGAGAATAGGATAGCAGATAAACAAGGAGGCTTTAGGAAAGGTACGGGGTGTGTGGACCAGGTGTTTACAGTGAAACATATAAGTGAACAGTATTTAGATAAGGCTAAAGAGGTCTTTGTGGCATTTATGGATTTGGAAAAGGCGTATGACAGGGTGGATAGGGGGGCAATGTGGCAGATGTTGCAAGTGTATGGTGTAGGAGGTAGGTTACTGAAAGCAGTGAAGAGTTTTTACGAGGATAGTGAGGCTTCAAGTTAGAGTATGTAGGAAAGAGGGAAATTATTTCCCAGTAAAAGTAGGCCTTAGACAAGGATGTGTGATGTCACCGTGGTTGTTTAATATATTTATAGATGGGGTTGTTAGAGAAGTAAATGCGAGGGTCTTGGCAAGAGGCGTGGAGTTAAAAGATAAAGAATCACACACAAAGTGGGAGTTGTCACAGCTGCTCTTTGCTGATGACACTGTGCTCTTGGGAGATTCTGAAGAGAAGTTGCAGAGATTGGTGGATGAATTTGGTAGGGTGTGCAAAAGAAGAAAATTAAAGGTGAATACAGGAAAGAGTAAGGTTATGAGGATAACAAAAAGATTAGGTGATGAAAGATTGAATATCAGATTGGAGGGAGAGAGTATGGAGGAGTTGAATGTATTCAGATATTTGGGAGTGGACGTGTCAGCGGATGGGTCTATGAATGATGAGGTGAATCATAGAATTGATGAGGGGAAAAGAGTGAGTGGTGCACTTAGGAGTCTGTGGAGACAAAGAACTTTGTCCTTGGAGGCAAAGAGGGGAATGTATGAGAGTATATATAGTTTTACCAACGCTCTTATATGGGTGTGAAGCATGGGTGATGAATGTTGCAGCGAGGAGAAGGCTGGAGGCAGTGATGTCATGTCTGAGGGCAATGTGTGGTGTGAATATAATGCAGAGAATTCGTAGTTTGGAAGTTAGGAGGAGGTGCGGGATTACCAAAACTGTTGTCCAGAGGGCTGAGGAAGGGTTGTTGATGTGGTTCGGACATGTAGAGAGAATGGAGCGAAACAGAATGACTTCAAGAGTGTATCAGTCTGTAGTGGAAGGAAGGCGGGGTAGGGGTCGGC